CATACAAGAATAAATAAAAACGTAACAAATTGATTACAAAAACGCAAATATAATCCGGCTCGGGTTTGAATAAATTTTTAAGTGCTATTCAATTAAAGTAATTGCAAATGGGCTATTAAATATAAATAAAAAAAAACCAAGATCAGTATTCTGAGACGTCAGAATATAAAGATCTTTCCCATTATATTCATTGCAGTATTTAATCCTTAGTGCAAGAAAAGTAATTAAAAAGTATCAATTCATGATAACTTTTTTTTTTATCCTAATTATGTAAAAGTCGAGTTCACTCCTTCCACAAGTTGGGTTCAACATTTTTTCAGAAAATCTGAATTTATAAACATATATAGAAAAAAAGTGCTCATTTCTTTTAACAGGCAAATCATTAATTTCTACATTGAACTTTTCACAAAAAACACTACAATTCCTTTTTATTAATAACAGTGCATGACAATGCTATCAATGTTCAAATTATCTTTTTAATTAATGTGGATTTTGACTACTCGCCAGATAAAGTAACCAAATAAAAATCGACTTATAAGCATTATAGTCTTTAAATAACACTTTTTTCAGTCATTAACGCTTTTAAACATCGGCCCATGAATCGCGAAATAAATTGGCTACTTCATATAGTATATAGGACTAAAAGTCGTTAAGGAGCTTGATGCCATAAAGATTAGGGAAACATACCACGAGTCTAGAGTTCACCTCCTACCCCCAACACAATCTGGCGACTTGATCAATTGGCTAACTCTCTGGCCTTTGGTACCACAGGCTTCAGCTTCGAATCCTGGCAGTGGCATGGATGTTTGTTGGTGAACCCATAATGTACAAAAAAATTACCATACAGCAACAAACCAAACACAACCCGATGACTTTTCAAATTTACCGTCCAGAACATTTTCATCCGAACAAACATATTTCGACTTGCTTCCCAAACTTCGAATTAAGCTCCTTGAATGCAAAACCAACTCCATAAAATCAAATAACTTTGTGATGATGTTAAGATGATATATCTCGCAATCTACGATGAATAATCCAATGCATTATTCTAATTAATTTAACTGAACTGTGAAATGCGTATGCATAAGATTTGAAACTTTCAGAGATCACAATAGTTAGTCTACTGTCAGAAACTTTTAATTTATCGGGGATATTTGGTGAAATTTTATAGTGTACTGTTTCCACATCATTATAACCAACACCCATTCAAGTTTATTTGTAACTATATTTTTTTTTACTTTTGTTTTCGACAGTAATAACAGTTACCAGGCTAACTCAGCTGATTTGGATCACTTCATACCATTTCACGTTAACCCATTTCATTGTCACTTTTCTATATTTCATCAAGATATTTACAAACATTCGTTTGTTGTTTTTCTTTCTTCAATCTCTCAAAAAAAACAAAAAAAAATGGAATCTTCTACGATAGAGATTATATTATAAAATAATTAAAAATTCTTTGAAAGCGAGTCCCCAAATAGATTTTTACAAACATAAGAATAGTATTTATCAACATGCAAATTTGAGCTACAATTGTCATTTCGTTCTCATTGTAGTAGACCTCGCGACCCTCATTAGAACAATACGGTCACTCATAAAATATAAATATCCTTGTCGTTGCTGGAATATGTACATGTTTTGTCATTTTCTGACAATATTTATACCGTTAACGTTAGAACCTATTGCAAGCGTATTTGATGTTCTTTAATTCGCATCAACCATTCGTTTCGGTTAAGAGTATTTGAAATTATTTTTGAAGATGATACTTCTAAAATTTTATTAAAGTGAACATAAATCAATTATTCAATAGTTTCTCCCTTTCACATCTTTTCAAACAAGGTTGTAACCTCCTTTCTTCGGCAGCTATATTAGTCAAGAAAGCGTTACTGTAGACACATGGGAATACACCAAAGATGTTCACAGATAAAAATCCCATATCCACACAATGATACAGTTTATCCATAGAAAGCTCAATTAGACGCTTTAAGAATATTAATTACTTGCTATATTTGATATTATCTCGTTATTAGTTAATAGCAAAATGCGTATTGAAGATTCGTGTCTGTCAGTGTTACTTTAGCTTACTTAATAGCGGTTGATAGTGACGAAGACATCTAATCACAAATACGTAAACAAAAAGATTACAATAGATTGGTAAGATGATTACAGTAACATCAAATTAAAACTAAAGTTCCAAATCACTAGTTTGAATCAAAATAATCGTTTATTAAAAATTGCTAACCAAGTAAATTTTTTACTATGTCGATTTTCCAATTTAAATTATTTCTCATTTAGGAATATGAAAGTTTTTGCGTTCTATTTTATAACATTAAATATTTTATAAATTAAAATATTGTTATGATTCAAGCCAGCTTTTTAATTACAGTAACTAACTACAATAATGAAACAGAAGCATATTCTTTTCAAATTTTGCAACGTAGTCCCATTTTCCCGTACAATTACATATTATTCAATTTACCATAACGACCCAAATTGAAACCCAAAGAGAGATCTACACAATCCCTGCTATACCCTACTATACATGCATGTTCAGAGATAAAACCCATATTCACATAATTATATAGTACAGCACATTTCTGAAAAAGTGACAAGAAATTAAAAGCTTATCCAAAGAAATTCCCCTTCGTTTTCAATTAACTTTCATCATGTATTGTATTATGCTATCGGTGACACCAAAATTCTTAAACAAATTATTTTTTAGCAATAATTGGGCTTTGGTGACCCTATTTCCCCCACATAACAGGTACATCTCGCGGCATTTCCTTGTTTACCACAAACTAAGGAACTTTGGCCATCTCACTTTGTCTTAGGTTGATGCTCGCTTTTGGTTCAGTTTCAAAAACAAGTTTTCTGATTGCCGGAAACGTTTCATTATAACAGTAACTTAAATCAGTCTTAAGCGGGAAGTCTGAAAATGAGAAAGGCATAAAACTACAGATAATTATATTCAGAATTCAAGTTGTAATTGTTTTCAAGTGGTCATAAACAGTATAACCTTGAAGGCAGTTTGCATAAAGGCAATTACGAAAGCAGTAGAAAATTCTTGCTTGTTACAAAAGGTGATTTTTTAACGATGCCTCGAAGATTCTAAATGAATAAAAAGAAATTTAAAGGTCCTAATGCAAGGTCTATGTAATTTAAAAATGGATAGGAACCGAATTTACTTTTTTGCCACTCCGATAGAATAAAGATTATTATGAAGCCTTTTAAATTACATAAATTTTACGAATAAAAATGTCAATAAACAATTGATTATTAATATTAGACATATGACTAATCAAATTTAAAATTTATCAAAAATTGTTAACAAAAGCAAGAAACCAGCTTGCAATACAGCTAGTTTATAAATTAAAAAACTTATAATTTATACGCAAAACTAAATTTATTATAAATTATTTATTGTTTTATAATTATATTATATTTTAATATTAGTTATTCAATATTATATTATAATATATTAAATTATATTATATATTTATATTTATTTTAATTATTTGTTTTGCTTATATCTGTTATATGATCTGCTCGCTAGGGAAGTTTGCGAACTTCCCAAAGCTTCTTCTTCCAATCTGTTAGCTTCAGAGGTACATTCCATGACTTTAGCCAGAGTGAATACCTCTTGGAGGTTGCCACCAATTCACGCATGGTACGCCGCTAAATATCCTGGTATGTCCATGCAGTGCTCCTGTCCTAGACCTGCTCAGACGGCTTTAGCTAGACTAAGGACTGGCCACATTAAGAGTCTGACCTTCAATGAAGACGAGAAGACATATGCCCTTTGTCATTGTTCGACCATCGCATCTCCCTCTCATCTCATAGATTGTATTGGTGCCTCTGTGAGGCAACTGTTGAATGAGGGGAGGACAGTTTACGATCTATTGATGCAGCATGATCTACTGGACTTGGTTTAGGATTCTAAATCAAGGGGATAAGCAACAACAACAACATTTGTTTTGCAATTTCGATTTTTTTTTTTTATAAATTAAAATTTATACGCAAACGAAATATTATCCCCAAAATATTCCGTAGTGAAAGGTGTAGACTAAACAGAATTCCAACACGAAATATTTTGGGGATAATATCCCAAATCTAGTTTCATTAATTTATATGCATTCCAAACTATGAAAAAGTTAGTTAAGCCTAAATGCGCACGGTCTAATTAGCCTGAAGTGTGCATAAAATGACCGTAGAGTGACAAAACAAACAAAACCTAAATGTGCAAAATTTGGCGATTTTTAAAATTGTGGCCAAAATGTTGATTAAACTACATTTAATAACATTTAAACTAAGGAAATTAAAATTTAAACTAAAGTCTTTTTGTGTAGATTGATTATAAATATATTTTATAATAATATAATAATTTAATATATCTTTTACAATTCATTGAAGAAGGCAAGTTAAAACAATTTTAAGAAATTATCCCTATAATTATTGAAAACTTTTTCCCTCTAGAAATTTTCAATGGATCAGTAGGTTAAAACAGATACAAATTGATAGATTGTATCAATTATTTAAATTTTTTTCTTATTAACTGGAAAAAAAAAAACATTTTTTGTACGAAATGCTCCATTTCTCTACCGAAAATGTTTTGCAACTCTAGTCACAGCTGAAAACACGTACGGGAAGAAATACTTTAAAATCTATTTATAATATTCTTTCAAACACACAAAAACTTTTTCCCCCTTACACTTAAATTCAGCTTCAGTGTAAAAAAGTGGAAATAAAAGCCAATCTGTTTACAATGAAAGTCATTCTTAGAAAATATTTTAAATTAATTTTTTTTTTACTTTACAAAATATCTTTTAGTTTTTCCTGCGCGACTGACTAAAATCTGCTTTACAAAAGTATTTCCTTATTTATTCAATTTTTAAAATTTAGCGAACCAACTTGCATTATGAATCGTTAAATTCACCTAAATTTAAAAAGAACATTCGATTCATTTTCTAGAGAAAAGAAAATATACTTTTTACAATTGTTACTCTCGTTAGATCACCGAAGTCAGGCATCATTGGGCGCGGTCAGTACTTGGGTGGGTGACCACCTGGGAACGTCGCGTGCCGTTGGCAAATTTGGGACCTGAATGGCCGAGTGTCTAGCGCTCTGGCGCTCGGTGCCACAGGTTTCGGGTTCGAATCCCGGCGGTGCCATGGATGTTTGTAGTGGTTCGGAATCCACTTTAAGCCGTAGGTCCCAGTCTCCTATGACTGTAAGAGCGTCACGGAGCAAAAGTCAGACTTCTACCTACGGGTGCTCCATCACAACAGAAGCTGCTTCCTTCCCCTTCAATCATGAGTACGTATGGGCTCGTGGGCTTGGCCAGCCAAGTGGGATAAGAAACAACAACACAATTGTTACAAAATGTGAATAACACAACTAAAAATAAATTAAAATACTGAAAAGTTGATAGGGTTATTAAACATTTGAAAATAGTAATTTTATTTAAACTAAATTACTATTATTGTAATTAGTTTAATTACTGTAAGATTATCGTCACCTTTCATTTGATAACGCCTATTTTCCTTGATATCTTCAACATAATAAACCTTACTAGGGGCCTGATGGTAGAGTTATTAGTGCTCTAGCATTTTTTTCCAGGTTTCGAGTTCGAGTCCTGGCGGTGCCATGAATGTTTGTAGTGATTAAGAATCCACTTTAAACTGTAGGCCCTGATCTAATATGACTGTAGAGCATGGAGCTGATAACCCTACCCCTTAAAAAGTAAACATTTCCTGTCTCGAAATCTGCCAATAGGCTAGCGGCCTTTGTCCCAGCATGGGGCTGTTGTGCCACTGATGATGATAAACCTTACCAACATAATAACTGGATTATATTTATGGATAATGATAACTGGATTATAATTATTACTTTGTTTTCTACACGACAACAAAGTTTCTCTTTCATTTGAGAAAAATCAATTTTGTATAAATTTTTTTTTTATGAAGCTCCAATTTCTTTTATATTTAAGGACAATAAAGTTAGGACAATAAAGTCTCTGCATGTCAAGTGAACACCGAGCCTTACACACAATTATTAAAGCTTATAAACCAAACCAATCAAGCTTATATTACGATACTAACATACCAGATACATCAGTACTTTTATTTCAAAGACATTTTATAAATTTTTTCCCACATATTAGCGACCGATGATAGAATGGAAGTTCTTGCATCATTGGATAACTCCAATATAAGCAATATATCCAATATATCCAATATAAGCAATAAATCCATTGGATAATCCAAATATAAGCAATCTTTCCTACTCATTAAATGCAGAAAAATAATATTGATAGCCAAGTGACTAGCACTCTAACTCTTGTACCATGGATGTTTATGGTGGTTCGGAATCCATTTTAAACAGCAGGTCCCGGTGTAACCTTGAGAGTTGAACGTAGGAATGACAGTCTCCAGTCTAACACAGTTAAAAGAATAAGAAAGCAGCTGCCTCGAAATCTGCCAGTAGACAAACAGCCTTGGCCCACCATGATGTTGTTGCGCCAATGAAGAACTAATGTAGAATGCCTATATAATTCAAATTTTACTTTAATTATGTTAACTATTTATATTATTAACCACTCAAAATTTAAAGAAAAAAAATTATGCTTAGAACAATGTAAAAAAGTTAATGAATTCATAATTATTACTTCCCAGGCACAATTTTTTTATTTTGTTAGAATTACCCGAAAGAAAATAGGAAACGGAGATGACTTTTTCAATTCCTTTTATTGGTCCACACTCTCCCTATATATATCTTGTTCAAATTTTCAATTGTACATAAAATACTTTTTATTCATCCACTCAAGTTCAAATACATTTATTTGGAACTTGTAATGGATGACATTTGATGTTAATACAATTTTTTCAAATATTAATTCAGTAATTAAATTTAATTCATTTTAGTTTTTTTAGATTTAAGTTGCCTATACCTACCAATAGATGGCGCCAGATAAACTTAAAAAAATGAAAATTATTCATAAAGGACTTTCTGCAATAGAGTGGAAAAAAGATAGAATTGACTTTAAAATTTTTTTTTTTTTATATTACTTGTTAATAGGGAAATTGCGTTAAATTAAATCGCCTTCTCTTATCTGTATTATCAAATTTTCGGTAATATTTATGTTTTGTTAATAAATTGATAATACGTTTTAAGCATAAGGTATAAGAAATTGAACTCTTATAATAAAGTCATTGAATTGATTTGTCACGGAAGAGATCTAGAAAAATAATAGAAACCTCAATAAACCTATTCATTAAATAAATTATAGTTTTAAAAAACTGATTAACTCTAAAAGCGTGTTTTTTAGTGTTTTTAAACTATAATATTTAAATGAGGTCCCGGTAGGAAGGACTGGAACTATAGTTCTTACAATAATTTATCTTGCAAAATCACTAATCCTGGCGATTCTAATCATGATGAGATAATAAACTTATCAAAATATTTTGGTGCCGTCGGTCCTTGATAAGCCTAAAACGTTTAAATTAAATCTGATCGCTTAAAGTAGGTCAGAATCGAGCCCAAAGAGTCAGTTACATACATACATACAGGTGAAAC